CCCCAAAACCCCAAAACCCCAAAACCCCAAAACCCCAAAACCCCGAGATTGTGTGTTCAGGTTGAACTTGTCAGGAATAGACCACGTTACAGTTTATATAGCCCCAGATATACACATTTTTAGTTAAGAGAGAGGAGAGGAGTAGAGGGAGGATTAGAGGAGGCAAGGCCTTTAGTTAGAAGTTTTGAATTAGGTTAGAGTTAAGCACTTCGAGTGTTTAGTTTTATTAATATGAAGGATTAATTGGTCTTCATGGTGATTAGTGAAGATTGTTTCTAAATTATTTCTGAATCTTTATTCACGATTTTGAATATTATTTGAAGAGATAGATAACAGAAATAAAGTTAATTCGTCGAGCTTTGAGTTTTGAGAAAATTTTATTGAAACAATTCTGGTAAGAGTAAATTAGGTTGAATGATGCATTATAACAACGAAGGAGTTGACTGTTATGTTAACCCACAGTTTATAAAAATAGATGAAGTCTTTATTATCGTCAATGTGATTATAATGAATATCTTTTAGAGTAAAATGGCAAATTTATAAGCTCAAGAATTATTTGCAGAATTTTGCAAACCCAAATTACTTTATTAATTTCTAATTATCAAAAATGAGTAATAATTTCAAATTTATTTCTTCTCAAATTAAGAACCAATGAAGAGGGAGTTTACATCTAAGAGACTTCCAATTGTTCAGATATAATAATTTTATTGTCCTCTGAGTTTTATCCTACCACCCATAAATATTATTAGCCTCCAGTTCTTCACCTAAAGTTACAAATATTCCCAATTTGCTCAGTCTAATTTTAAGTGAATTAGTGTGAAATTTGGAAATCTTTAGAAATTGTGGTCTTTGAAATACGATATAATTTTGGGTATCCTCTGGTTTTATGGGACACCCGATTCGATAACTGAATATTTTTTGAAAATTACAAAATATTCATCATAAGCCAAAATAAGCATCCCTGAGAGTCAAATATTGATCATAAACAAAGTAGGGTGTTCAGATTAGTTTCTTTGAAACAGCACTATTTGGACAATATAATCCTTATTATCTTGAGATACTATAAAATAAAAGTTCATACACTTTTATAATTAATTATGATTGACGACCACTTCCAGCTCACCAAGATTTTAGGAAAAGGAGGTAGCTCCAAGGTGTTCCTTGCTACAGACAGCTCTCAACAACTAGTGGCCGTCAAGACCATCAGGAGTGACAAGAAGTACTCCCAGTCAGCTGCACAGGCTCTCATTGACCGAGAAGCTCAGACACTCGCTCTCTTAGAAGGCCATCCCAATATTCTCAGATGTCTTCATTCGAACTGAAATGGGAGAGTCGTGGTTGGGGCTAAGACAGAATCTGTCATGTATAACGTGCTAGAGTATGCACAGAACGGAGCGCTCTCGACCTACATCAGGCAAACAGGCCCTCTCGAAGAGTCTCTGGCAAGGCTGTTTGCATTCCAGGCTTGTAGCGCCATTGATCATATGCACAGTCTGGGTCTGGTTCATCTTGATATCAAACTTGAAAACATTCTTCTTGACGAGTTCTTCAACGTCAAAGTGGCAGACTTGGGCTCTTGAGTTGAAGCTTCTGAATTCAGTGGATGCAGCGACAGACGGAGAGGTACTGCTCACTACATGGCTCCAGAAGTCGCAGGACTTCAACCAGGTGAGGCATTCAGAGCTACTCCTGCTGATGTGTACTCTCTTGGGATCACGATGTACGTAATGGTTACAGGAGAGTTTCCGAGTCCTCATCAGCTCAAACTCAGTGTCTCCACCACTGACATTGATGGTCAGTCATGAATTGAGTCAGACTCAGATACCCAGAGCCAGAAGTCCGGATGGTCTCAAATAAGTCCTGAACTAAGAACATTATTACAAGCGATGATGGATCCTGAGCCATGTAAAAGACCTCTGATAAGCGAAGTACTTTCATCTTGGTGGTTTGATGTAGAGTTCAACCAAGAAATAATGGAAGAAGCTTATTGAGAAATGGCCAGCCGCAAGGCTTACATCGAGAAGCTTAGCATGTAAACCCAACATGCTTTAAGAATAGTATCAATAATCTAATAATAAAGCTAATTTGCATAAGTCTTACATAAATTTCCCTAATAGTTGATAAGAATTTGGAGAAATTTAGTTTTAGATGCAATTCTTCATCGAAATTTGTCCGGCCAATTCACCTAAATATGATTTTGAGATTTCATAAACATTTTCCACAACTAGCAAATCCATAGACTTAAACTATGCTAAGATCTTCCACGAACTTCACTGATCCAAAACATCTCTACAATATATCTCCTTCTAAAATTACACCACCATAATGAGTATTGCCCAAATATTATTAAATTTCCGTCCGTTCTATAATTCTTGCTTATTGCGGGGTTTTGGGGTTTTGGGGTTTTGGGGTTTTGGGG